AGTGGTCTTAGTTAAGAAGCCTGAGACAGTTTATTTGCCCTCCCCCCATGTAAGGATACAGTAAGGCAGCATCATCGATGAAGCAGAGAGCAGGCCCTTACCAGATACTAAATCTGCTGGTGCCTTAATCTTAGAATTTCCAGTCTTTAGAACTTTAAGAAAGAAATTTTTATTCTTTATAAGTCACCCAGTTTATGGTATTTTTTGTAATAGCAGTCCGAATGGACTATGACAAAAGGTGAGGAAATGAACCTTATTTTGCAAAAGCTAAATGAGTAGTTACTATGTGCTAGGTTCAACTCTAAGGATTTTATATTAACCTATCTAATGCTGAAAATAATCCTGAAAGTATTATTATCATCTCCATTTCACACATAGAATAACCAAGGTACAGAGACGTTAAGTCCAAGGTTATATAGCTAGAAAGTGGGGACTCAGGATTTGAACTCCCAGAATCAGAACTCTTTACCATTGTGCTATGTTGCTACTTGTTAATCCTGCCAACACTGACCATCCACACATCCCATAGCTGAGCTGAGAATAATAACAAAAAGGTGATGAAGAAGCCAGCGAGGTAGAGAGAGGAGGAGGAGGTAATCTGAAAAAGGGTTATCATGGAGGAAGAAAACTTCAAAAATAGGGACTGGTCAATGTTATCAAAATAGGTAATAGAAAAGAATAAACAATGAAAAAAGACAATTGAATCTAGCAATTTACAAGTCACTGAGAACTTTATCAACATTTTAGAGTGAACAAGCTTTAAGAATGAATGAGAGTTGAGGAAACAATGTCATAAAGTTTAGATATTTCCTGATACCTGAGGGAAGACTACTGACAGCTTTAAGAGATAGCAGGTATGAGGTAAAAGTCTTTATTTTATACAATAGGGATACATTTAAGTACACTTTTAAACTTAAGAAAACTATGAATCTAAGGATATATTATTATTATTATATAATGCTATGTTAATCTAAGACAGGGGTATCTAACCTTTTGGCTTCTCTGGGTCACATTGTAAAATTAAATACATAAACACTAAGGGTGATGAGCCAAAAAAAAGAGTTCCACGCATAATTTTCGTGATGCCTGGCAACACAAATAAGCAAAAATGTCCCCACATAATACTCCTAATTATGCAGCAGTCCAGTTAAGAGAGTTCTTTAAAATCATCAAGCAGGTCTGTAATAACTATATACGCAGTGTACATGTCTCAGTAATTAAATGTGTTTTTAAAGAAATGTGGGCAACATAAAACTAGTGGGGTACCTGACATTATATTTAAGAAGTTAATGCATCTCTTGTCCTCAAAGAAGTAGGGTTTTTATTCTTATTGTTTAGTTTGAGTTCTCTGTGGATTCTAGTTGTCAGACCTTTGTCAGAAACATAACCTGCAAATACCTTTTCCCATTCTGAAGGCTGCCTGTTTGCTTTACTTACTGTGCTCTTGGCTGTGCAGAAGCTTTTTCGTTTCATCAGATCCCAGTAATATATTTTTGGTGTTGCTTCAATTGCTAGGGAGAGTCCTCCTTGTAAAATATTTTCCCAGGCTAATTTCTTCAAGTGTTTTCCCTGTACTCTCTTCTAGTATTTTTATAGCTTCATGTCTTAAGCTTTATGTCTTAAGTTTAAATCTTTTATCCAGTGAGAATCAATTTTTGTTGATTGTAATCAACAAAACACTTGTTGGAAGCAGCCCAAGTGCCCATCGACCCATGAATTGATTAATCAATTGTGGTAAAGGTATACCACAGAATCCTTTGCAGCCATAAAAAAGATAGATATTTTACATCTTTTATGTTTACCTGGATTGGTGCTGGAACATATATTCTTCTTAGTAAAGTATACCAAGAATGGAAGAAGTATCCAATGTACTCAAAAAATATTATGAAACCAATATACAATCACCTCCACATTCATACAAATGATAAAACACAACTCTAGGGGGAGGGGGCAGTATGGAGGAGGAGGGTATATGGTGGAACCTCACCGAATGTGCACAATGCAATGGTACGTTTTGAAACTATTAAGAGTAGTATATAAACGTCTTATCACAACAAATAAGTGAGGTGATGGTTATGTTAATCAGTTTGATGTAAGCATTCCACATTGTGTATCAATTCAGTATACCGTACCCCATAATGCATTAATGTATACAATTATGATTTTTTTTTTTTTTTGAGATAGAGTTTCAAAAAACTCTGCCCTTAGTAGAGTGCCATGGCCTCATAGCTCATGTCAACCTCAAGCTCTTAGGCTCAAGTGATTCTCTTGCCTCACCCTCCCAAGTAGCTGGGACTGCAGGCGCCCAGCACAATATCTGGCTATTTTTTAGAGGCAGGGTCTTGCTCTGTCTCAGGCTGGTCTTGAACCTGTGAATTCAGACAACCCACCTACCTCAGCCTCCCAGAGTGCTAAGATTACAGGTGTGAGTCACCTTGCCCAGCCTCACAGTTATGATTTAGTAAAAAAGAGAAAAAAGAAAAGAAACTAATGCATCAGTATCTGGTTGGATGGAAGTATCTGCAATTTTTTTTTTTTTTTTTGAGACAGAGCCTCAAGCTGCCCCCCCTGGGTAGAGTGCTGTGGCATCACAACTCACAGCAACCTCCAACTCCTAGGCTCAAGCGGGTCTCCTGCCTCCGCCTCCCAAGTAGCCGGGACTACAGGCACCCACCACAACGCCCGGCTATTTTTTGGTTGCAGCTGTCATTGTTGTTTGGTGAGCCCGGGCTGGATTCGAACACGCCACCTTAGATGTATATGGCTGGTGCCTTAGCCACTTGAGCCACAGGTGCTGAGCCAGTATCTGCAATTCTAAGGGAGTTCTCAAGGTGCTCATCAGATATTTGGTTCTAATTTTACTCTTAATATGCATCATTTCTTGAAAATAGTTGCTCACAAATGTCAGTGCTGCCAAAAAGCAGTGACATGAATTAGGTATGACTGTGAATCAAAGGGTACTGGTCTCTCAGAAGATGGGACCTATAAAAGTCCAGTAAAGACATATGATAAAATTTTCTTTCCCATTATGTCAAATTGCAGATGTATGTATTGCATTTGAAAATTGGCAGGTAACATATTTATGTCAACTGAAAATGGACTTACAAATGCACCTAAATATTATTTTCCCAGAAATCTTGAAATCCGTTTTCAAGTCCTTATATCAAATGAAAAGCAAGGCTGCATATTTTTCACTGTTCACAGGACAGTGTTTAGCCAATATGTCAAAATGCATAAAATTGTTTGCCTTCATTTGAGGTTGCCATAATTTGAGTTTCATTTAGAAGACTGTTACAGTTTGAAATGTTGTACTGATAAATTGGTTTTTACCTTAAAGACCCATGTTTAACTCATTTCAGTGAGTGATTAAATCCACTAAAAATAGTAACACTGTACCAATTTCCACATCAACTTCCAGCACAAATTTGGTTTCTCATGTCATAAACAACTTGATAATACATCCCGAGTTATCAAATCTTTTCAACATTTGACCTTAACTTAGCCATCTTACTCCCCAAAAGTAAATGATGTCAACATCAATACCTTTAAGGAATTCCTGGAATTGGCAATGATTCAATCTCTTGGCCCTTATGAAATTCACAGTCTTGATGACAACTTGCATGACATTATCCATTTATAAAGTTTCTGCACATAAATTACTACTATGCAATGATACTTTATCAAATGTGAGTTTGGGGCAGCAATTGCATTCTCTTCTATTCATTTT